TCTGCTCAATATCCTGTAATAACCTAAATAGGAAAAGAATTTGAAAAAAAACAGATACATGTATAACTAAATCACTTTGCTGTACACCTGAAACTAACACAACATTGTTGATCAACTATGCTCCAGTAAAAAATTAAAATAAAATTTAAAAAACCCAAAGTGGCTGATTAAGGTTAACATTATTTTGGGAAGGGATGAAATGAGAGCTATTATGCCAGGCTATGCTAGAGCATAAAGCAACAAAGCACTGGCCTTGCTAACAGTGCCTGGCACAAAGGAAACACTCATCAAACGGCTGTTGGTTTATATAAATCCTGACCCAATGTGTACAACTTAGTGAGTGACAGGCCAGAGATGCTGCTTTCCCTGTCTGCCATGGGCTTTGTTGGCTGTGTGAGGTTCATAAACATCTCCAAGTCACTCTACATCTTGCAAGGGTGTAGACCCCAAGGGTCGTAGATAAAGGTGGATTTATGTGAAGTTAATTAAACTCAAGTCCTGGCAAAGTGTTCACATAGTCATATATTTTTATAAAATCTTCAAAAAGGAGATTTTTTTGTACTGTTTTCTTTACGAGGACTCCCCAAATTCTATAAGCTTCAGGCTCCATAAAATCTGGAATTACCACCATAGCTCTTTAAAGAGGGGATTGGAACCGGGAAATAGGATGCTTGAGACAGCCATGTCTTCCTTGCAGCCTGGAGCCCCCAACACCAACAGGTTATGCTCCGAGCGAGCCCACAAACTGCGGTCCCCTGCCTCAGGCTCGGCTGATGCCCTCTTCTCCCCGCCCAGCCAGCAGTGCAGAGCTCCCACCCTTGCCTGACCCCAGAAGCTGTTAAGAGCCAAGGAAGACCCTCCACCGGCCCTGCCACTCAAATTCCTTTTTATTGTCCCAGGACTTGGGGTTTCTCACCCCCAGCCCCTCCCACATGTGGCAATTTCATTTCAGCCCTGGCCTGGGGTCCCCCACCCTGTCCCCCACTCGATGGTCATGCTCTCTAACTGTAAACATCGAGGCGGCAGTTTAAAACATGCTGATGCCTTATGCACAACCAGATCTCTACAAATACTCTGTGATTTAATTTGAAATATTTGCTTTATATAATTTGTAGATTTTAGCTATTGGACTAAGATCATTCACAGAAATAGACTGTAATTTACTGCTGTTTCCCCGGGTTTTTTTATTACTGCATAATTAAAACCTACTGTCAGCTAGCACGGGGGGTGGCGACGTTGGTGTTATGCAGTGTGCATTTTAATTGGCTGTACAACCACCATCTCTTCTTCCAGCGGCCCCGCATCTCTGCAATAATGCGTGAGCATAATTCTCAGATCTCTTGAGGTACCTGTAATCCACAGCCTTGCAATAAACCTACGGTCTGACGTTCCAGTTGTCAGCCTTGCAGATGCTTTCACAGTGAAGGACCTCAAACTAAGGGCACGTGGGCTCGGGGAAGTTGGCATAAGTGTGAGCAGGTTTGGAGGAAGCTCGGCACAGAGCATGGCGTTTTCCCCTCTGGTTGTATTCCCTGCAGCCATCAGGACTGACAACTCTATTACAAAGATGGAAACATGGGCCAGCAGCTCTCCCCTTGTGCTGTTTTTCACAGGAAAAGACAGAGCACTCAAGTGGGCAATAGAATGAAAGAGACTGCAGGTTCTTAACAGGAGAACTGCCATCCTAGTCTCTAGGGTTTTTTTTAAATTGAAGTATAGTTGATTTACAATATTGTATTAGTTTCAGGTGTATAGAAAAATGATTCAGTTATTTTTTTTTCAGATTTTTTACATAATAGGCTAATACAAGATATTGAATATAGTTCCCTGCGCTATACAGCAAATCCTTGTTGCTTTTATGTATAGTAGTTTGTATCTGTTAATCCCCCACTCCTAATTTATCCCCTTTCCCCTTTGGTAACCATAAGTTTGTTTTCTATGTCTGTGAGTCTGTTTCTGTTTTGTCTATAGGTTCATTTGTATTATTTTTTAGATTCCACAAATAAGTGATATCATATGGTATTTATCTTCCTCCATCTCACTTACTTCACTAAGTACAATATTCTCTAGGTACATCCATGGTGCTGCAAATGGCAATGTTTCATTCTTGTTTATGGCTCAGTAATATTCCATTGTGTAAATTCACCACATCTATATAGGTCCTTCTAGTCAACAAACGTATACCTACTCTGAGCCAGTCACTGTGTTTGTCACTGGGGGTGTAGCAATGAATAATACACAGTCCTTGTTCTCTATAAGCTCACATTCTAGTAGGGGAAGAAAAACATTCATGTAAACAACTACATTGCCCCACCGCAGGTTTTGCTAGAGATATGAGGAACTATTTGATATAATGGAAAGAACGCGGTCTTTGGAATCAGAGATTAGGGTTCAAATCCCACTTTTGCAGTGCGTTCAGCTCTACTGCCTTTAGAAAAGCTGCTTCTTTAAAGAACAGTGATTTCCTTATAGTAACAGAATGCTACCCTGCAGAGTGCTGGGAGGCTCCACGGCTGCAAGGTGGAGGTGGCTGCTGAAAGCACCCTCCTCCCCTGTGCTCTGTGCAGTTCCAAGCCCCCTTAGAGGAGGTATGCTGGGGGATCCGGTGGCCAAGATTAGAAATGACGGACGTCAAGTGCTTGGTACAGTGGCTAGCATGTCATAGGCACTTGATAAATGGTGGTTATCACTGTTGACAACTGTTAGGGAAACACCACCTCTCCTGTCCCTGAGCTATTTCAATAACAACCAAACTCCAATCTCTCCTCTCCCTGATCCTCCTTAGAGCATTCCAGGAGAGCTCCTTCTGCAAAGCAAAGCTGATCTGCTATAAACGCTTAGTAGCTCCACCCCCCTCAGAGAAATTCTATCATCCTGGCAGAGTGGGGGGCATCAGCGTGTCCCCTGCTTCCTCTCCAGCTGTCTGCCCAGCACCCCTCCCCGCCACCCTCCCTCTGCTTCTTGCAGAGTCACTTCCCTGCCATACGCTGCTTCCTCCTGCCTCCTGATTTTGGACATTCTGTTCCCTTCCAGTCCAACCACATGTGCTTGTTCAAATCCCCTGGAAAAGCCACACTCCAGCCTTCACGTCCTACACAACTACTAACAGAGTGCAACCCCTCCCCCCACAAACTGTTCTCTCCACTTTCGTATTTGCCCCTCTCTAATCCATTCCCCAAAATGCAGCCAGCCTGGTTTTAATTAATCGCATCATGGCACTCACTTCCTTAAAACCTTCAGTGGCTCCCCTCCCATCACACTTTTTTTAATATCTTTATTGGAGTATAATTGCTTTACAATGTTGTGCTAGTTTCTGCTGTATAACAAAGTGAATCAGCTATATGTATACATATATCCCCATATCCCCTCCCTCTTGAGCCTCCCTCCCACCCTCCCTATCCCACCCCTCTAGGTGGTCACAAAGCACCAAGCTGACCTCCCTGTGCTATGCAGCTGCTTCCCACTAGCTAGCTATTTTACATTTGGTAGTGTATATAAGTCCATGCCACTCTCTCACTTTGTCCCAGCTTACCCTTCCCCCTCCCCATGTCCTCAAGTCCATTTTCTACATCTGTGTCTTTATTCCTATCCTGCCCCTAGGTTCTTCAGAACCTTTCTCTTTTTTTTAGATTCCATATATATGTGTTAGCATACAGTATTTGTTTTTCTCTTTCTGACTTCACTCTGTATGACAGACTCTAGGTCCATCCACCTCACTACAAATAACTCAATTTCACTTCTTTTTATGGCTGAGTAATATTCCGTTGTATATATGTGCCACATCTTTACCCATTCATCTGTCACTGGACACTTAGGTTGCTTCCATGTCCTAGCTATAGTAAATAGAGCTGCAATGAACACTGTGGTACATGACTCTTTTTGAATTATGGTTTTCTCAGGGTATAAGCCCAGTAGTGGGATTGCTGGGTCGTATGGTAGTTCTATTTGTAGTTTTTTGAGGAACCTCCATACTGTTCTCCATAGTGGCTGTATCAATTTACATTCCCACCAACAGTGCAAGAGGGTTCCCTTTTCTCCACACCCTCTTCAGCATTCATTGTTTGTAGATTTTTTTGATGATGGCCATTCTGACTGGTGTGAGGTGATACCTCATTGTGGTTTTGACTTGCATTTCTCTAATGATTAGTGATGTTGAGCATGCTTTCATGTGAGTGAAATCCATCTCCCGACCATGGCCTGCAAGGCCCTGCTTGACTGACCCCCTCACATTGTCCCCTTGCTCACTGTGCTCCAGCCACACTGGCCAGCCTGCACTTCCTGCGACCCCAAGCCCTCTTCTGCCTCATGGGAGCGCCAGCCTCTGCTTCAAGACTACTGGACGCCTGTTGTCAGGGGGCCACCTGCTCAGTCTTCCCTGTTCAGCTCCAGGGCCACGCCCCCCAGAAGCCCTTTCCTCCTCCCCAGACAGAATCACGGCCCTGTGATTCTCTCTCATCACATCCTGCTCTTTTCCTTCAGAATATACATTATGATCTGTAATTACTTAATGACCTTCTTTCCCTCTAGATTGTAAATTCCACAAGGATTGAACTTCAGCCCGAGCAGGAAGCCCAGAGCCCCGCACACACGTCTGTGGAGCAGATGCCTCTGTGAAGGTTTCCCACAGCCCGCCAGCCTCCTCCCACACCCATCTGATACCCTGCTCTGTAGCATTTCGTTTGTACGTCAATCTCTCCCCACAAGAATGTGAGCTTCTTGACAACAGGGCTATCTTCTGTGTGTTCCCAGCATAGCAAAGCATCCTCCCTCCACTCCCACATCTGGCATAAAGATTAACTCATGAAGGTGCAGGGCTCCTAAACCTGCAGATAGAAAATGTACAAGCCCTGCCGTCAGATAACACTGTGAGCGAATACGAATGCACGAGAAAAAAAAAGAAGTTTAAATTTACTGAATATACTGAAAATGCTCGCAATTATTAAGTGCTCAAACTGAGTATTGAAGTGAAGTAATTGTGGCATTAAACAGCCATAGCCTACCTTACTCATGACAGGCCTTCAGCCTGGTTTTCTACTGGTACTGACACCTCCTATACCCTGAGGAACAGAAGACCTTGCTCAGGGACCTAGAAGAAGAGAAGGATGAAAAATGTTAGGAGAAGGGAAAGAAAGGAGGGTCGAAAGGGCAAGAAGAGGCAACATGGTGATGGGCAGAGAGCGGAGCTCTGACGTCAGACCACGTGGACTCACACCCTGCCTCAGACCTGGCCTTGGGCAGGTCCCTTGGCCTCTTTAGACCTACGTTTCCTCCACTGAAAAATGAAGATAGAGTTGCCCCCGCAGTTTGTCCTGAGAACTAGATCATGTAAAGCATGTCTGGCTGACATTTGGAAGCACCTAGCAATCCAGGCCCACAGCCACCATTCATTTGTATTTGCTCATCCAAGCATTTATTCAACTCCTCCTGTGTGCCCAGAACTGCTGAGGCTACCAGGAGAGCAAAAACAAACGTGTTTTCACACTCACTGAGCCTACAGTCCCTTCAGGGATACAAACATTCCACTAAGCAAAGGTAAACCTGCACCTGTGGTTGGTGCTACAGAGGCGAAGACACCGCGAGTGCCTGTCACCATGGAGAGAGGCAGTGGCCTAGGGCAGGCTCTGCGGCCAGCTGGCCTCGGTTTGGCTTCTAGGGCTACCACTCACCCACTAACCCGGTAGACAGCCTTGAGCCAGTCACTGTACTTGCCTCCTTATGCTTCTGTTTGCTCATCTGTAGGACAGGGTAACAGCAGTATCTGATGCATAGGGTAGAAGATTAAATAAGTTGGAGAGACGGCCGATGCTTACTAACTACTATATAAGGATTTGCTGTTTCATTATTATTACTTTGCCTAATGAGGGCAGTAAAGAGGGATTCCTAAGAAGTACCATTTGAACTGAGATATTCAAAGGTTAATAGAGTTAAGTAGGTGAAATGGGGGAGTGAAGAGCCCAGGCAAGTGTCCACAGGTGGAAAGGATAGGAGCAAATCCAAGGAACTAATAACAGGCTACCAGGGCTACAGCTGAGAAAAGAAGTCAGACCAGGCAGGACTTCGTAAGTAACGTCAGGAGTTTCATCTTCATCCTACAGGCAATGGGAGAGCAGAGAGGACATCACTCTAACTTCAGAGCAGAGAAGAGACTAGTGAAGGGGCAGAGTGAATGCAGGTATGCCACTAGAAGTTTGCTGTAGAGATCTAGAAGAAATTAGGATGTCATGGACAAGAGGGATGGTAATCCAGATGATAAGACATGGAATGGATTTAAGAGATGTTTTGAAGATAAAACTGACACGACTGGGTGATGGGGCAAGACACAGAGAGAAAAGAAGCAGAGGGAGATGCCCAGCATGACTCTGAGATATCTGGCTTGCAAAACTGGATGGATGGTGGAGCTATGAACTGAGATGGAAATGGAGAACTGATCCTAACAGGAGCAGCACGGATGCAGCGGAGGTTAGGAGTGCATCTAAATAACAATGTATGTGAGTGATCAGAGGGCAAGGAATCTGGGTTTTCTTCCCTTGGAGAAGTCACTTGACCTGCATAGCTCACATTCCGTTAAGGTTCTGCAGAGAGGGAGAACTGACCATCCAAAGGTCATTTTGATTTGGCCATGGGCTGCAGTGATGTGACAACAATGTACACTTAACCTGCTCTTTCTAGCCCAGGCAGTCCTCCACCTCTGGCCCCTCTCAGCAGCCTGAGACCAGCAAGAGGAGAAAGGGTAAGGGTCTAAGTAGAGAGTCCACTGAAGCAAAGAGATAACTGTATCCTCATAGGGCACTGGAACAAAACAATGTTCTCCTTGGTGAACAAAGAATCCACGTAAGTTGTCATGGGAACAGTCAATAGACTTTAACATCATTATTATTTCTAGCTACCCTTGCTCGAGCACTTACAGTACGCCAGGACTTCAATTACACTATCACCTTCACACAGCACCTGTAGTAACAGGAAGAAGGATACAGAGAGAGTAACTTATCTGAGGTTACACAACCACTGAGTGACAGAGCAGGGATTTGGACCCAAGTCTGCATGACTCTGATGCCAATCTTCTTTTTTTTTTTAATAGGATTTTTTTTTTCTTTAAATTTTTGGCTGCATTGGGTCTTTGTTGCTGCACGCCGGCTTTCTCTAGTTGGTCAAGCGGGGGCTACTCTTTGTTGTAGTGCGTGGGCTTCTCATTGCAGTGGCTTCTCTTGTTGCAGAGCGTGGGCTCTAGGCGCGCAGGCTTCAGTAGTTGTGGCACACGGGCTCAGTAGCCGTGGCTCGCGGGCTCTAAAGCGCAGGCTCAGTAGTTGTGGCACATGGGCTTAGTTGCTCCGCGGCATGTGGGATCTTCCCAGACCAGGGCTCGAACCTGTGTCCCCTGCATTGGCAGGTGGATGCTTAACCACTACACCACCAGGGAGGCCCCCAATCTTCTTTTTTTAACCCTAGAGAATTTCTATGAGCAACACTGCAGCATTGACTCCCATACACAAAACAGACATTTTCAGGTGGTTAAACGCATGCAAGGTGAAGCCCTTGGCCACACAATAGAACAAAGCTAATTGGCCTCTGCAGAGATCAAAACCACGACCTTGTCCTTACTTGATCATTCTGCCAAAGGAATGCTTGAGGCAGACAAACTTGCCATCAAACGGCTATCAAGCATTTTATTTCCCTTCGTATTGTGTAGGTTGCTCATTTATTCCAAGAGCTCAGCCTTTCAAAGTAAGCCACTGGATGGAAGGGAGACAAGCGATGCTTCTACAAATCATCAAATGGAAAGGCTTTTTCAGGATTTGTTAAGGACTTAAAAGGTAGGAGGTAAGGGGCTAGAAACCTACCTTCAGAGATGGACAGAACCGGCTCCCAGGTCCTGGCCCTCGGGAATGGAGTACCTCTACTGGCCTTGCCACATGCTCACACTGCCACCTGCTGGACATTGCATGCATCTCCACTTCCCCTAACGGTCCACCTGGAGACCCGCGCACAGCCTATCCTGCAGGTTGATTGCTCACACTTTATCATCCCCTTTTCGCTTTTTAAAGTGTCATACTCAGGAGGAATTTTGGTTTTCTGACCCAAACTCTTTTCAGCCCGATACAATAGAAAGGCAGGTAGGAATCCATGCATGCTCTGGTGTCGGTGTAGGCGAACCAGGAGGACACGGGAACATTTTGTGAGCGATCCGGGGTGGGGGAGGACAGAAACCTCCTCAAATCCTTTTTAAATACAGTGAGATGCATTCTTCCCTGTATATTTTCTTTTCCTTTAAGCACAGCTTGTGGAGCTAAGGGCAGGGTGGGTTTCCAGCTTCAGAACATAGTGCTATTATTTTCCAAGACCGCAGGCAGCAGTCTTTCCTTTTAAAAGAATTATAATCTTCCCCTTTCATTCACTCACAGCATGAAAATAAATTACTGTGCTTGAGCACTTTAAAAGTTAAAGTACGGCACATGCTGATCAAAAGCTGATCTTCAAATACCCATTTCCACCAACATGACTTTTTTAAAGTTTTTTTTTCATTTTTATTTGATTTACCTCATGTGGCATTGCGTCTCTTATTCCAAATTAGATAGGATGCTAACCCCCATTTCTTGGGGATAGGTTTGGAATAGAAAGATGGGTTGGAGAGTATTGGAGATAAAACTCAGTGGCCTACCTAGTGACTCGTCCTTCGTATGTTTAAGGTTCAAGAACTCAGATAAATTAGAATCATTCTCTGAATCCTCTTTCCAAAGGAAGGCACTGAAAGATTTTTGCTTTTCCAGATTTCCAGAACTTCTTGATAATGGAAGAGGACCTGGAATTTCTCAGCCAGTTTTCAGCTTTTTTACGTCGTGTACTGAAGCCCACTACTGTCTTCTCATTTCATGCACAGAACTGAAACCCCATGGTTAGTCTCTCCCCAGGTGGTTTCGCTTATTCCCATGGCCTCAAGCACACCTGAGTGTCACGACTCCCAAGCCCATGTCTTTAGTTTCTAACATTCACCTCAGGTCTACAGCCATCTCTCTAACCGCCCACTAAATATTTCACCCTGGACGTCCCACAAGCACCTTCAATTCATTGTGTCTGATAATCGTGGTCACCCCGGCCCCATCTCCCAAAGCTGCTCTTTCTTCATGTAATCAGCCCAGGTAATGGCAAAGTTATCCACTCAGTTATGTAAACCCAAACCCCAAATGTCTCCTAATACCCCCACCCTTTATGTGTGATTGATCTTGAAGTCCTATTATGCCTACTACCTAATGAAACTATTTATTCTCTTCTCTCCAGCTATGCTGACACTGCCTCTGCATTTGGACTGCTGAAACAGCCTCGCCACTATCTACCTTTCACAATGTTTAATGCTTTCCTTTTCATCCTTCATGTTCAAAAATACAAACCTCATCACATCCTTGATAGCACAATCACAATACATAACAAGAAAAGTTGATAACCTGGGCTTTAGCAAAATTTAAAACTTTCGCTCTGAAAACGATCCTGTTAAGAGGATGAAAAGACAAACTATAGACCAGAAGAAAGTATTCACAATCACATATCCAAACAAGGACTCATATCTAGAAAATATAAGGAACTCTCAAAATTTAACATTAGAAAAACAATTCAACTCAAAAATGGTCAAAAGACATGCACAGACACTGCACAGAAGAGCAGATACGGATGGCAAATAAGCACATGAAAAGGTGTACAGCATAAGCCATTAGAAAAATGCAGATTAAGACTACAATAAGGGGAGGAGGGGAAGATGGCGGAAGAGTAAGACGCGGATATCGCTTTCCTCCCACAGATACACCAGAAATACATCTACACGTGGAACAACTCCTACAGAACACCTACTGAACGCTGACAGAAGACTTCAGACCTCCCAAAAGGCAAGAAACTCCCCACGTACCTGGGTAGGGCAAAAGAAAAAAGAATAAACAGAGACAAAACGATAGGGACGGGACCTGCACCAGTGGGAAGGAGCTGTGAAGGAGGAAAGGTTTCCAACACACTAGGAAGCCCCTTTGAGAGCGGAAACTGCGGGTGGCGGAGGGGGAAGGCTTCGGAGCCGCGGAGGAGAGCGCAGCAACAGGGGTGCGGAGA